ATGACCAGTTACGTCACTACTGCATGACCAGTTACGTCACTACTGCATGACCAGTTACGTCACTACTGCATGACCAGTTACGTCACTACTGCATGACCAGTTACGTCACTACTGCATGACCAGTTACGTCACTACTGCGTGACCAGTTATGTCACTACTGCATGACCAGTTACGTCACTACTGCATGACCAGTTACGTCACTACTGCATGACCAGTTACGTCACTACTGCATGACCAGTTATGTCACTACTGCATGACCAGTTACGTCACTACTGCATGACCAGTTACGTCACTACTGCATGACCAGTTACGTCACTACTGCATGACCAGTTACGTCACTACTGCATGACCAGTTACGTCACTACTGCATGACCAGTTATGTCACTACTGCATGACCAGTTACGTCACTACTGCATGACCAGTTACGTCACTACTGCATGACCAGTTATGTCACTACTGCATGACCAGTTACGTCACTACTGCATGACCAGTTACGTCACTACTGCATGACCAGTTACGTCACTACTGCATGACCAGTTACGTCACTACTGCATGACCAGTTATGTCACTACTGCATGACCAGTTATGTCACTACTGCATGACCAGTTATGTCACTACTGCATGACCAGTTTATCACTACTGCATGACCAGTTACGTCACTACTGCATGACCAGTTACGTCACTACTGCATGACCAGTTACGTCACTACTGCATGACCAGTTACGTCACTACTGCATGACCAGTTACGTCACTACTGCATGACCAGTTACGTCACTACTGCATGACCAGTTACGTCACTACTGCATGACCAGTTATGTCACTACTGCATGACCAGTTATGTCACTACTGCATGACCAGTTATGTCACTACTGCATGACCAGTTTATCACTACTGCATGACCAGTTACGTCACTACTGCATGACCAGTTACGTCACTACTGCATGACCAGTTACGTCACTACTGCATGACCAGTTACGTCACTACTGCATGACCAGTTACGTCACTACTTTCATGACCAGTTACGTCACTACTGCATGACCAGTTACGTCACTACTGCATGACCAGTTACGTCACTACTGCATGACCAGTTACGTCACTACTGCATGACCAGTTACGTCACTACTGCATGACCAGTTACGTCACTACTGCATGACCAGTTACGTCACTACTGCATGACCAGCGACAAATGTTTATCAATAAGAACATTCAAGGACCATAAACTGAACAGGAGAATACTTCTCAACTTTATTAATGATAAAATAAATAAACGTAATAATATTGAGGACAAACTCAACTACCACTTTGAGTACACCAACACATCCTACATTTATTCATCTTTAACAATGCCAAAACAAAAAAAAACTTGAAAAATAAAGAAAAACGTTGCAATATCAGAGAAACACTACATCAGATTTGACCTTGAGTACAAGTAGCATCTCAGTGAATCTGATCTTACATTTCCTTGCCTTCAATTATACAAAATCATCTATCTCATCATCAAAATCAATTATTTTCCCTATATAGGCTTATTTGTACTTTGTTAATATATAATAGGCTATATAGAAATGAAGGATTCTTCTCTTATGTTGCTGCAGCACCGTTTTGGGTATTTGTGTCACCTTTAGAGGCTCTATGGTGTCACCCGGGGCAAACCCTCCCCCACCCCCCATTACGACGCCTCTGGTTCAACAGTGCCAATGGATATAAGGGAACATGCCCTCTTGTGCCCGGGATCGAATTCCGGTTCTTCAGTTGACGCCACTACAAACTGAGCCATGATGTATCACTTACAAATTTCATCTCTGCTTCCTATACTCTTGCAGGATGGGTATAGACTGTATAATAAATATATTACGCTAACTAAAACTTCCTAAAATCTAATCAGTCTTCAGTTCTAAGCCTTACAACCCATTTCTCCAATTTTTATCGCCACCCCATTCAAGGTAACCTATAGAATACATTCCTCACTATTTCCTGGAAATAAGTAATACTTCCCATTAAGCTACTTTTGATATCAGTTCCTTACAATCTTTCCTATACTCTCCCCACCATATTCCCACCTAATACAAATACTATCTGCTTCAATAACTAACCTTTAGTGGACTTATAACCTGGAAATACCTTACAAATGGGCCCCGCCCACCTCTGACGACGTCTCCAGATGCTGCATCTCCACATACCTGGAGTAACCCTCTCCAGATATAAAACAAAATGTTATAGGTCAGACTATTTACTAGTGTTGTTGTCTCCACTCCTCAGACCGGTCAATGTTGCTGTGTTGATCACTGTTGCAGCAGACACAGCCAGGCACAGCAATTACCACACCTGGAACATTACACACACAATGTTTGACATAATACAACTATTTTCTTTAATCAATATTTCTTACACATTAACCTGATGAATAACAATTTGTTAACATGCAAGTCTATATCTGAATCACAAGGCGCAAGTTACTTGGATCAAGAGACCTTCACTAAGTTCTTTTTCAATAATGGAAAAAACAACTCAGAACTACATACACAATTATGGGTTATGTAACACCTGTGTGAGAGTTATTGTTCGATCAAAGGAAGGGGAGTAGCTCCAGTTCCTCGCATCAAAACCCCTCCACTGAAGTCAGTTACCCTCCCCCCCGCCAAGACGTTAGACCCCAAGGAAAATTAAGACTAATAAAATAATTTAGTGACCAAACTGGTGGCGGGGACCAGGAGCTGTTGGTCAACTCTGCTGTTGTACTTACAAAAACGTCAATAGACAATACTTACGTTATTTGGTGTATCAAGAGGCTGAGGAAGCGGTAAAACTGGCGGGGAGGCAGGAGGACCAACACATCTCTCCTGTACGACTATTGAAGGTTAACTGACCTTTAGTGCCCTTGAGGTTGGTCACTGTCCTGACCTTCACTATAACACCATCACTGATAACCTGACTAACTCTGACTACCACCACTAGATGCCACTACTACACCTTGAGGTTGGTCACTGTCCTGACTACACATTTCACAACTATACTATAACACACATCATGATAACCTACTAACTCTGACTACCACTACTAGATGGCACTACTACACCATCGCTATCACCACTACTACACCATTACTACCACCACTAGATGACACTATTACACCATCACTATCACCACCACTACATCACTATCACCACTACTACACCATTACTACCACCACCAGATGACACTATTACACCATCACTATCACCAACTACTACACCATTAACTCATACTACCACATAGATGACACTATTACACCATCACTATCACCAACTCACTACATCACTATCACCACTACTACCCATTACTAACCACCTACCCAGATGACACTATTACACCATCACTATCACCACTATACCTACTACCATTATACACCACATCACTACTACACCATCACTATCATGCCACTACTACACCATCACTATCACCACTAACCTACACACACATCACTAAACCATCACTACACCACTACACCCATCACTACCACCACACTACTACACCATCACTACCACTACTCACTACTACACCACACTACACCATCACACACCACTAACTAACCATCACTATCACCACTACTACACCATCACTCACCACTACTACACACATCACTATCACCACTACTACACCATCACCCACCCTACACACCATCATACCATCACTACACACTCAACTACTCACCACTACTACACCATCACTACCACCAACTACAACCATCATACACCACTACTACCATCATACACCATCTACACCATCACTCACCTCACTACTACACCATCACTCACCCACACACACTACCAACACCATCAGTCACCACTACTACACCATCACTATCACCACTACTACACAACCATCACTACTCACCACTACACACACATCACTACACCACTACTACACCATCACTACCACCACTATCACCATCACTACACATACACCATCACACCATACTACACACACTATCACATCTACCTACACCACTACTCACCTACCACCATCATGTCACCACTACTACACCATCACTCACCACTACTGCACCATCACTACCACCACTACACATCATCACCAATCACCTCCACACACCCTACTACACCATCACTACCACCACTACTACACCATCACTGTCACCACTACTACACCATCACTACCACCACTACTACACCATCACTGTCACCACTACTACACCATCACTACTACCACTACTACACCATCACTGTCACCACTACTACACCATCATTCACCACCACTACTACACCATCACTATCCACCACTACTACACCATCACTACCACCACTACTACACCATCACTGTCACCACTACTACACCATCACTACACCACTACTACACCATCACTACCACCACTACTACACCATCACTCACCACTACTACATCATCACTACCACCAACTACTAACATCACCACATACTACACCATCACTGTCACCACTACTACACCACCTATCACCACTACTACACCATCACTATCACCACTACTACACACCATCACTCACCACTACTACACCATCACTTCACCATACTTACATCACACTACTACACCATCACTGTCACCACTACTACAACCACTATCACCCATGCTATCACCACTACTACACCATCACTATCACCACTACTACACCATCACTACTCACCACTATACACCATCACTATCACCACTACTACACCATCACTATCACCACTACTACATCATCACTATCACCACTACTACACCATCACTATCACCACTATTACACCATCACTATCACCACTACTACACCATCACTATCACCACTACTACACCATCACTATCACCACTACTACACCATCACTATCACCACTACTACACCATCATTGTCACCACTACTACACCACCACTATCAGTGCTACTCATGGGGCGCTCAACCCTCAGGGGTCATGCACCACCTGGGAGGATAAGTTCACTCCAAGGTGGCATAGATCACATTCCTTGGATCAAGAGACCCTCACCATCACCTTCAAGAAAGCTTGGGCAGTACATATACTAACACTGGAACAATACAGGGGAGATTAGCTTGGCCGCTGCACAAGGATAACAAGCAAAGTCGTGAAATAAGTCACTTTGTCTGACTTTTTTGGGTTATCCTGGGTTCTCTACACATATGCTGCTATGTATGATAATCTATGTATACCTGAATAAACTTACACTACTCTCACCACCCGAGGCGCTGAACTCCCCTCATGTAGAGTACTAGTGGTGCAATGCACCACTAGTACTCTACATGAGGGGAGATTGTACCACTAGTACACTCTACATGAGGGGAGATTATTGTACCACTAGTACTCTACCTGGAGAGGGTTTCGGAGGTCTACATCCCCGTGGCCCGGTCTGTGACCAGGCCTCATGGTGGATCAGGGCCTGATCAACCAGGCTGTTACTGTTGGCCGCACGCAACCCGACGTACAAACCACAACCCGGCTGGTCAGGTAATGACTTTAAGTGCCTGTCCAGTGCCTTCTTGAAGACAGCCAGAGGTCTATTGGTAATCCCCCTTATGTGTGCTGGGAGGCAGTTGAACAATCTTGGGCCCCTGGCACTTACTGTGCTGTCTCTTATCGTGCTAGTGACACCCCTGCTTTTCACTGGGGAGATGTTGCATCTCCTGCCGAGTCTTTTACTTTCATAGGGAGTGATTTTCGTGTGAAAGTTTGGTACTAATCCCTCTAGGATTTTCCAAGTGTAAATAATCATGTATCTCTCCCGCCTGCGTTCCAGGGAATACAGGTTTAGGAACCTCAAGCGCTCCCAGTAATCGAGGTGTTTTATCTCCGTTATGCGCGCCGTGAAGGTTCTCTGTACATTTTCTAGGTCAGCAATTTCACCTGCCTTGAAAGGTGCTATTGGTGTGCAGCAATATTCCAGCCTAGATAAAACAAGTGACCTGAAAAGTGTCATCATGGGCTTGGCATCCCTAGTTTTGAAGGTTCTCATTATCCATCCTGTCATTTTTCTAGAAGAAGCGATTGATACAAAGTTGTTGTCTTGTAAGGTGATATCCTCTGACATTATCACTTCCAGGTATTTTACATTAGTTTCTCGCTCTATTGTGTAGTTGGAATTTGTTTTATACTCCGATACAGTTTTAATTTCCTCACGTTTTCCATATCGGAGTAATTGAAATTTCTTATCATTGAACTTCATATTTTCTGTGGCCCATTTGAAGATTTGGTTGATGTCCATCTGGAGTCCTGCAGTGTCTTCAATAAAGGACACCGTCATGCAAATTTGGGTGTCATCTGCAAAGGAATACACTGGTGCTGTGGCTTATACCTTTATGTCAGAAATGAGGATGAGGAACAAGATGAGAGCGAGTAATGTGCCTTGTGGAACAGAGCTCATCACCGTAGCCGCCTCAGACTTTGTTTGTTGGGAAATTATAGATCCACCTACCAACTTTTCCTGTCATTCCTGTATCACGCATTTCGCGTGCTATTACACCATGGTCACACTTATCAAAGGCTTTTGCAAAGTCAGTGTATATTACATCTGCATTTTGTTTGTTTTCTAGAGCATCCAGGACCTTGTCATAGTGGTCCAGTAGTTAAGACAGGCATGAACCTGCTCTAAACCCATGCTGCCCTGGGTTGTGTAATTGATGGGTATCTAGATGAGTGGCGATCTTGCTTCTTAGGACCCTTTCAAAGATTTTTATGATATGGGATGTTAGTGCTATCTGTCTGTAATTCTTTGCTATTGCTCTACTGCCCCTTTTGTGGAGTGGGACTATGTCTGTTGTTCTTAGTGACTGTGTGATGACCCCTGTGTCCATGCTTCCTCTCCATACAATGCTTAAGAGTCAAGTTTGGTTACATGGGGCTACATTAAGTTAGATTTTTTAAATTCTTATAGGCCCAGAAAATAAATCTTCATTGACAACTCACTTAGTATTGGAGAATTTACATAATAAAATACTTCAAGTCCTTTAGTTAATATTAACCATAAATTAGGCTTCAACAAGTTAGCTGGACTTGAAGAAAATTAATGTAAGACTGAGAAAAAACGTAATTTCAGTTGCCAAGCACAATATTTGTGTAATAAGCGCATTTATCTGTCTTGGCCGGTTGTTATTTACGAAATTTACATTAGCATAGTTAAGTTTATTTAGTTACACATAAATACAGTTACACAAATTATCATACATAGTAACATACGTGTAAATTACCTAGGATAACCCCCCAAAAAAGTCAGACTGACTTATTTCTCTTGGGGTCCTTGTAATATATTAGTATTTAATCCTTAAAAGTTAAAACACGATTAGAAACTTTGTTCTCCACCTTAAATTCATATTATTGTGACATGAGTATATCTTCTTCCATCCTTAACACATGATTTGTAACTCGGATAGGCGAAGGAAATTTCTGAAATGATTGTCACTAAAAAATAAGATAAATAGAGTAAGTAGCAGCGCAGGAGCGACAAAGGGAGAGAGAGATGATCAGTGTTGCTGTGACCGTGTTCGTGGTAGGATGTGCACGCTCTCGTCCACGATTTATATTAGTCTATGTCTTCTTGTGTGATATTCCCATTACTTTTTTGTGTAGTGTCGCTTTGCGAAACAAAATATTTGGAAGTGTTACTTAGGAGTCGTCAAGTAATTTGGATTATACACGTAAGCAACATATATAATTAAGATAACCTTGGGATTTTGTGATTGTTGATATGTGTAATATAACAATAATATAGTGGTAAAAGTTTGTGTCTATAATCATATTTTATATCATCCTATTTGCACAAAATTATTGTTTTATTAGGAAGCTTCGCAATGTTATATTAATTTCGACTTTTTAACATTGTTGAAAATAACAATCATATACTATATATAGCATTATTTCATATTTAACGTTGTTAACATACTTGATACTGACAGGTATTAATACACAGGTAGATTATACTGACAGGTATTAGTACACAGGTAGATTACACTGACAGGTATTAATACACAGGTAGATTACACTGACAGGTATTAATACACAGATTACACTGACAGGTATTAATACACAGATTACACTGACAGGTATTAATACACAGATTACACTGACAGGTATTAATACACATTACAGACAGGTATTAATACACATTACAGACAGGTATTAATACACATTACATTGACAGGTATTAATACACATTACATTGACAGGTATTAATACAGATTACACTGACAGGTGTTAATGCACACAAATTTCAGTGACAGGTGTTAATACATAGGTAGATTACACTGACAGGCATTAATACACAGGTATATTACACTGACAATACACAGGCAGAATACCCTGACATACTAATACACAGGCAGATTACACTGACATACTAATATACAGGCGGATTACACTGACATTAATACACAGGCAGATTACCCTGACATACTAATACACAGGCAGATTACACTGACATACTAATATACAGGCGGATTACACTGACATTAATACACAGGCAGATTACACTGACATACTAATACACAGGCAGATTACCCTGACATACTAATACACAGGCAGATTACACTGACATACTAATATACAGGCGGATTACACTGACATTAATACACAGGCAGATTACACTGACATACTAATACATAGGCAGATTACACTGATAACACAGATAATTCACATTGACAAGCATTAATACGCATGAGAGCGAAACGTTGCCACAATGTTACATTAGTTGCACTTTGATCAGTAATTCTACCAACATTATTACAATGACATGTAGTAATACACGCATACACAGATTACACTGACAGGTATTAATACAGATTACACTCACAGGTATTATACAATACTGACAGGTATTAATACAGATTACACTGACAGGTATTAATACAGATTACACTGACAGGTATTAATACAGATTACACTGACAGGTATTAATACAGATTACACTGACAGGTATTAACACAAATTACACTGACAGGTATTAATACACAGATTACAATTTACAAGTACATTTAAACAAACAGAAAGATTACACTGACAGGTATTAATACATACAAATAGATTACACTGGCAGGTATCAATACACAAATTACACTAACGTATTTGTACATACAGATAGAGTACATTGACAAGTATTAATACACATATTTAACTTGACAGGTATTAATACACATATTTAACTTGACAGGTATTAATACACATAGATTACACTGACAAGTATTAATACACATATTTAACTGACAGGTATTAATACACATACAGATAGATTACATTGACAGGTATTAATATATACAGGTAGATTAAATTAAAAGATATTAACCCCGTTTAATTACAGTGACAGGTATTAACACAAATAGGTACTATAATGGTATACACTACGGGCACGAAGATGAATCTGACACGTGCACCATCTTGAAGTTGTTTTGTAGACATTTCGACATCCAGCGACTTTATTAATACACTGCATAACCTGGAGACAGTAGAATTATATACAGAAGACAGTGGAAGAAGAGGTAATCAGTCCCTCAGCCCTGGAGCAGGTAATGAGCACCGTTGTCTGAAAGAATCTCAAGTACAGACAGGAAGATAGGCGCATATATACTGAGTCGAATAAGATGCAACAGATGAATGCATTGTCAATGGTAGGCGAGATTCCTCACCGACAACAACTTCATCTGTTCAACCTCATCTGAATCCATATAAGCACCAACCTTCCTGCCTGTGTTTCAGATTTTTCAAGACTACAATGCTAATCACTTGCTCATAGGCTGAGAGACTGATTAACTTGTATTGTACTGTCCTCTGTATATAATTCTACTGTCCCAAGATTAAGTCTACTTATTGTATTGATCAAGTCACTGGATGGTCCTTAAAAGGGCAAAATGGAACTTTGTGAACAATTAACTGAGACAGTGGTTCTGGAGATTTCTGGCAGAATGCTCGGATATGTTAGGGAGATAGGTACTTTTTAACGGTAAGTTTGAAAATGCTGGCTGAGACAGTGGTTCTGGAGATTTCTGGCAGAGAGTTACAGATCTTGGGCGGCCCTTTTATGTGCATTGAATTTTTGAAGAGATTTAGCTGGATACGGGGAATGTTATAGAGATATTTGTGCCTAGTATTATGTCTGTGGGTCC